CTTTAAACATTTAGCCGGTGCCTCCCCCCCAGCCGTGCCCGTCCTGTACGTACAGGTCGGAGGGGCAGGACGCGGAGGACCCGTTGCAGAACTCGGGCAGGTCACACTGCGCATCGGCGGGGGGGCGGCACTGTGAGGTTTTCTGCTTGAACTGGCAGAGGAGGCAGAAAGGACTCTTCTCTCTTCTCTCCACCCTTACACACCCACCAGCGCGGTCCCCTCTCAGGCCCCACACAGACCCTCCCGATGCTGTCCCGAGACACACCCCCGGTCCCTCGGGACCCCCTCTGAGGCGCCTCGCACGCAGGTCAGCACATTCACATTGGAGTGACAATCCCAGTCTTCCCCCCGTAACATTCCTCCCGGGGGTTTCAGGGAGCTGAGCTGGAAAGCCCTTCCCCGGGAACCTCTCCGACTGCACAGCAGAAAGTTTGTCTCCATCCTTCAGCACTGGAACATACTATTTCTCCAAAAATAAATAATGATCTTGCAATAATTATAAAAACATGCCTTACCTGACATGCCTTACAACATAATCCAGAGGAACATTTCACTCCCGGCTTAAACCGACATCTTTTAGTACAGCATTTATCCTTCAAGCATGCCTGGGGACACATCGCAAAACAACGTTATTCTACTTTTTTGTTCCTCCAGAGGTTTTTACTGTCAGAGGTTCTCCTCTTCCTTCTTCTCCCCATAAAGCTACACTTGGGCAATATCTGGCAGAAGAAAGCGGGCAAAGCTGCCGTCAGATTGATGCCATCATAGAAACGATCTAAAACTCGACATAATCCTTCTTGGGCTGGCCTCTACTTCAGCTGTGCCCTTAGTCTCAAGGGTTCATTATTCTAAACGTACGAACAGTACGAATGTACGTATTTAGCCATAATTCCCGCAGTACCCACCTCTGCTGACCCGCAGTCACACTGCTCGCCGGGCTCCACGACACCGTTGCCGCAGACGGCCTTTCTCCGGTAGGACAGTCCGGTCAAGCGGGGTCTATTGAAAAGGCACGCGCCTCCATCGTGCTTCAGGAAGGTTTCGAAGTCCCTGATGCTGCAGCTGCTAAAGGCTTTTGCCCCACTGAAACGTCTGAAATAAAGCGATTATCCATACTTGTTTGTGTTACCACATCTACCGCTGTTCACTCTCTCAAAATCTCTGTGCAATTCAAGGACTCGTTCAGATGCTGGCACAAGGCGAAATGGTCCCCTGGGCGTCTTTCTGTTCACTTGTCAAACCAGATTTTACAATGCATTATTAACAGAGACTGAGAAGCATTCAGAAATACCTTGCTTTTGGAGAGAAAAGGTCTCTTCTTTCAAATTAAGCATTGAATCACTAATTTAATTATTCTTTTTTTCCTTCTTAAAGGAATAAAGGAAGATATTTCCGATTTCTTATAGTTTTTGCAACAGAATGACATTTGTTGAGGACACCTCTGATGAGAGGACACCCCGCAATCATCCCCACCACGCAACCGCAGCACCGCACACACTCGGCCAGGTGGTGGGTGACAAGTGGCTGCACGAGCGGGCTGGCGCTGGCCACAGCCGCGAGACCGACCTGGCAGCTGCTGGGGACCCCAATCTCCCCAGCGCGTTCCTGCCCACCCGCCTCATCTGCCCCGGCCCCCGCAGCCC